TTATAGCTGCCATAGGAACGATCGGGAAATTAATCGAAAAAAAATATAACTTCGTTGTTTTTCATCGTATTTGAATCTAATTTGAGACATAAGCTTCTGGTATTATTTCAGAATTTTGGTAAAAATTTTATGAAAATCGGACAACTATATCTTATAGCTGTCATAGGAACGATAGGGAAAGTAATAGAGAAAATTATAACTTCGTTGTTTTTCAACGTATTTTCATCTACTTTGAGACATGAGCTTTTAGTATTATTTCAGAATTTTGGTAACAATATTATGAAAATCGGACAACTATATCATATAGCTGCCATAGAAGCGATCCGTAGATGTAGAGAATATGTAAAGCTGGGAATGTATAACTGTAACTGTCAAACTGTAAACATAATAAGTATAGGTAAAATGTTATGAAACTCAGTTTAGTGTCTGTTTTCGGCATTATAATTTATAATATAAATATGAAAACCAATCTGCAAGGGTATACAAACTTCGGCGTGCCGAAGTTAGCTTCCTTTCTTGTTTTTATTTTTATTTATTTATTTTTTATTTTTTTTGTTTCTTATTATTCTTTGAATTTCTTAGCATAATAATCAGAAGCATAATGCTCTATAAGGTGGGTCATTTTTTCTATAGTCGCACTTTCATTTTCTTCAATCTTTCTTTATTAGTTAGAGGTCTTTGAGAACTCTCTATTTGGCTACGCCAAACCATTGTCTGAGCTTCCAAAGTGGCCATTTCACTCCTTATTCTATTTTCTATTGTAGAATAATGCCCTATTGCTAGAGTTGAAACTCCATCATCACAAATAATTCGCTTGTCATCTTTGTTGTCTAATGTTATTTTCGTTATTTTTATCGTGCTTATTTCATGTCCTCTAGATCTAAACATACACATAGAATCATATTCTTGCTGACCAGTAAATAGACATGTTTTATATCCATCAAATGTAATTTTTTGTAAACAACTACGTTTTATACCCTTGTTCTTTTTCACACACTTTTCAGGCTGATTACCGACACTTTCTGATTTATAGGCATACATCTTTGACCTCAAGCCTACAAACTCTGTCATTGCCCTACCATTCAATTCATCCCTAAAGAAACCTAACCGCTTCTTATTACACTGCTTAAAATTATAAAGTGCAGCCAATTCATCTGAATACTCGGATGTATCAAATTTATACTCGATATCATTTCTAATGTCTGCATATAAATCTTCTGTTTTTATTGAGTAAATAAATGAATCAGTGTCCATATAATTAAGTTTTAGCGCATCCCCAAATTTAGGTTTCATGTATGAATAGTGAAAATCATACATTTTCCATTTCGATAATTCTAAAACCACGAAACCTAAATATAGCGGCTTATCACAAACGTTATGTAATTTCTTTAATTGAATTGCATAAAGTTTATCTGTAAACTTTTTTTAAACTATGAAAGTTTGAACGACTTATTAAGTCCCTCGCACATAGTCTTGGACGTCCGCCTTGCGGTCCAATGGGTGGAGCTGCCCATTCACTAATTAAACGTATATCAACGCGCTTTTCACTATTTTAAAGACATTTTCCATAAATTGAATTATTTAGGAGCTTGAAAAAGTCTTTTTTAAACGGAGTTGTAGCCCTGGTTCTATGTTCTGTATTTATATCAATATATATTTTCAACCAGGGCTTCTGTTTAAATTGAATAATGGAGTGAATCTTTTTAAGTTTCAATCCATTCTTCATACACTGTTGTAACGTCTTATAATGAATAATGTATTTTTCCTTGTTATGTAAATCTGCAATCAATTTTGTGACTTTTGAATTTACCGAGGGGAGTTTATTGGCTGGACAGAAAGGGAGATCGTTATGTAAATCATGAAGCGAGTATGGATATTCTAAGTCAACTTCTAGAATATACCCATACTCGCTATCCTCACTAATGTTTTCAACATTAAGCAAATCCACTTCTTCCGGCTCTAGCCACTTAAAATCCCCATAAGGTAAGGACTCGGACATGGCCCAACCATACAAATTATTCGCATCCACATACATTAAATATCCCGATTCTTTACTAGAATCAAAATCTTTAAGGTATTTGTGGTTTGCCTTGGTATACCTATGCGTACTTTGTACTAACCCTTCTCGAAACCCTTTTTGAATATATCGTATCATGTCTATATCCTGCAGTAATTCGAGGCTAATTTGCGTAGTTTGTAACGTCCTGTCGTCCACGGGTAGTCAGCGGGACGTCCAGGGTCTGTGCAGATATATTTATTTGGTTCAGGCGTGGTTGCTGTAAGAGATTCCGACCCCGTCCCAGAGTAGAACGCTAGAGGATTATGCCGTAAATGTATCTTAATGTTTATTTACTTAAAAAGGTACAATTTTCAATAATTTCATGCCGGATCTCGATTCTGCCGTAGTTCCGATTCGTCCTCCTCGTCCCGAGTGCGGCTGTCCGATAGGGGGGATGCCGATAGTCCTGCCAGGGTATGGGCCTTTAAAGCCACCCAATAGCGAATGCGTTCGGACTCGAAAGTCAACCACGAGAGAATGCGTTCGGACTCGAAAGTCAACCGAACCCAGTAGTTGTCGGACTCGACGATCAGCTCAGCGCCGTTTGTTGGACTCGAAAGTCAGCTCAGAGAAGTTCGGACTCGAAAGTCTGCAGATAAGGACTCGAAAGTCAGCTCGAAGACGTTTGTTGGACTAGAAAGTCTGCAGATTCGAACTCGAAAGTCAGCAGAGAGAATCGGACTCTGAAGTCGGCAGTATTTTGGACTCGCAAGTCAGCCGAGAGACTCGGACTCGAAAGTTGTAGTGTGTAACGTTGTTTTCTGGCTGCTTTCGAGGATCTGAGCTGCGGGGCACGCTGTAATTTTCCGGCTCTAGCTCGTCGGCTTTGGGGGTGGAGGTCTTGCCTACTCAGATCTCGGACACGAACTACGCATTATTACTAATAACGAAGAGAATTGAGCGTGCTTGCGACAAAAATGTGAACTAGAACCAAATCGGGAGAAGAATAAACAAATTCAAACAAAAAAAACTAGAAGAGGGGAAGGAACCGAAGAAGAAAGGACAGAGAGAGAGAGAGATCCTTAATTTTTTGCGAAGACACAGGTGTTATTGTGTTCGCTATATGCCCACCCAACCTATGATCACCACCGCTAGAGCATGGCTCTGGTGATCCCTTTAGATCCTTACGACCGTGGAGTCATCATCGAGTCGGTAAAACAGTTATTTAAGCCATCATGCTTTCTTTAAACATTACGTTTTAATATAAATTTTGAGATTAATGCTAACATTGTTTATGAATTCATTTGGAAATCAGACTAAGGAATAGGTTATGTATATATATATGCTTAAATAATACTAAAAAAATATAATATCTTTTAATATGTGTAGTTGTTTAATTTAATTTAATTTTTGTTTTGAACGCTGCTCTGGTTCGCCTTTTTTTTTTAAATGGCTAATTTAATTTGCTTCATTTTCTCGGAAAAATTCAATAATAATCAAAGTTTAATTTTTTCTTTTAGCAGCCGTAGTTCCTTATTTAATTTCTAGAAATATTTTCTCTTCAAAGTAATTCATTATTTTTTTTTTTTTTTTTTTTTTAAATATGTAGTGATTTCAATTCAACCTTATCTTTTAGCATTGTGTAGAAACGTATTTTTATGTTCTTTTCCTCTTTGCTTTTGTTTAAACTTTTAATACACTTCGTTTACTTTTGCATTAACACTCACTCATTTTTCTTTTCCATCGGCGAAGATCGATCTCCCTCGAAGTGAGCTGGAATTCAATGGTTGCAAGTTTCATGGCATTAGTTTGAACAAAAGCGGAAAAATTGACTTTTCTACCTACTCTATTCTTCACATTAAGCAAGAAAATAATACGAGTTACTTAAATATAATTATTTAAAAATTTCTTTAACTATTTAAAAATTATTAATTCGTTTTATAACTTCATAAAGAAGGTTCTTCTCATCAATATTGACTTCTAGTCGCAGCAAAGTTAACAAAGAAAAACTCATTCGCAAGAGTTATGACACGCCATGTAGGTCGAGGTCAAATTTAGGCAGTTGGAAAAATCAAAATTTAGTCGAAGTTCAAATCCGGAGATTAAACAATTTAATTGGTGCCCTTAATTCGTTTTAATCGCATTTACACTTCCTATGGCCACTGATCGAGACCTCTGGCTAACAATATTCATGGCTCCGGCCAATAGTCAAAGCGCAAAAGGACACAGAGGTCATGCCACGGTCAATCATTTGGAGCCTCTGCCCACTGCCTAACTTGCAACCAAATTTGCCACAACTACATAGTCGGCCACTAAATGATGTTGCGCAGTCGCGCTGTTGGCCGATTTATTCGCACAAGCACAGTATTTTAAAATCCTCTCTCCTTCCGGCTTCCTAGCCCTTCATCCCCTCCTCAGGGGGTGCTCCTCGGGACCGGAACTTTAATGCTGCTTGCTGGGCTCGATCCACTGAATAAAATATATCCACAGTAAGCACCAAATAAATAACTCTATTTCACAATTAATTTACCCGCTGATTGAAAAGGTTTCCAACAAAAATAAAAGAGGGTTTCCAAGATATAACCTCTCTCTCGGTGCTGGTCGACGCCTGCGTTGGATTTGCTATCTTCACTGGCAATTAATTCGGCGACCTGGGCAACAAAAGGGGTTACGCACTGTACACCGGCACTGACAGCTCTTGTCTACTCACTTGGGATTCCTTAAGATCTGGCAAAAAAAACTTCTCCACCCGATACACTGTCTCAGTGGACTTGGCACTTTATATGGCTTTATGTGGCGGGAGCAATTTGAGGGCTTGTGCACTCCACCGATTCTCAATTCGAAAAGAATTTAGTACGGAAACGGATGGAGTGAATTAGGTGCAGCTCAGTGCCAAAAAAATTTCCTAATTGGAAATAGAGCTTTCCAGATCTCCCCTGGCGCCGCCGTGAGTTATCTAGTATATCTGCAAGAATATGGTCTTGCAAAAAAACAAACCATATACGTGCAGCTGCCGAATTTTACGCATGTGCATTGGAAGCTCGGCTTAAAAACTGCGAAAACTGTTGCCTGCTTTTAAGCTGACATCTGTTTGTGCCACCATATACGCCCCAAAGCTCGGCTTAAAATTCACAAAATCTGTAGCATGCTTCTAGGCCCAAAAAAAAATCTCGTGGATCTTCAGTCGCCACTACAAAAGCCCCCCCGGTAACATCTGGCTAGGGTATATATCTCACTGATACCCTAGACTGATGCCGACTGAAGACACATCATTGGCGAATATCCTTCGCATGGTAGGTACCCAATAGTTTCCCTTGCAAATCTTCTAGCTCGTAGTAAGAGTTTCCTAATCTTCTGCGCACTCTGGCTTTTACAAAAGAAGGACCGAATTTAGCATTGTACCCTGTCTGGAAACAGCTCTGCTTAAAATTCCTTCGAAATACTTCTTGCCCTTCAGCATAGGATACAACTCGAGACCGAAGATTGTACTTCTTTTCGTTTTCGGAGTGCTTTTCCAGCATCCGCTTGCATGCTTTCTCCCGTACTATCTCAAACGAGTCTTGACGATTGAACTTTAAAGATCTGTCATCCAATAGGTTGAGCTTCCTCAACAAAGAATACGTGGAACCAGAAGTTACCATGTGTTGTCCGAAAACCATGTAATAAGGAGATGTTCCTAGACTCGAATGTACGGAAGATCTCAACGCACAACTAATCCGCCCTAAGTGTTCGTCCCAATCTTTCTGATCAGGCCGCAAATACGCTCTAATTGCAGCGATAACTGATCGGTTAACGCGCTCGGAGGCGTTGGCCTGAGGAGAATGCACAGCAGTAAGCGTATGCGTAATGCAGTACTGCTGAACTAATTTTTGAAAAGCGTGCGACCGGAATTGAGATCCATTGTCTGACACTATCGTTTCGGGAATGCCATACGACATAAACAATTCTCCTTCCAAATATTTTATAACGCCACTCGCATCTATCTTCTTTACTGGCTTGAGAAATACATATTTGGAAAAATGGTCGAGAACGAAAAAAATCCCAATATTTCCACCTCTGGATCTGGGGTATGGTCCAAGAAAATCTATAAATAGTCTTTGGAAAAATCGTTGACTTTCCGGTGCTTTTCCTAACGGTGGTCGCAAAACATAATTTGGTGCTTTTGTAGTTTTGCACACCTCACAAGCATTTATATAGGCCTTAACGTCCGTCACAAGTCCAGGCCAGAAATAATAACGCCTTACTCTTTCAATGGTTTTGTGTATCCCACCATGAGCAGACAACGAACTATCGTGAGCGCGAGAAAGTATCTCAGGAACCAGTTCCTTCGGCACCCAGAGCTTCCAGGCATATTCATCGTGCACTTGCTCTCCAGTCAGATGCTCAGCCTTTCGGTAAATGTAACCGTTATCGGTCCTAAGATCAGGAAAATTCGTCTGATTTGCACTCACTTTCTGCACTAATTCGGTGTATTCCGCTGATTTGAAATGATCGGAATTTAGATCTACAAGAAATCCCTCCTGCAAGTCTATCGCAGCTATCAGGTCTTCGTTTACCCGAGACAAGGAGTCGGGCACTACGTTAAGCGAACCTTTGCGATGCTTAATCTCAAAATCATACCTTTGTAAGGCCAAAGCCCATCGAGCTAGTCGTGAATTCAGGTCATGGTTGGACATTAACCATTTTAATGACGCATGATCGGTTATGATTTTAAATCTATGTCCTTCCACATACGCCCTGAAATTTTTAAGAGCCACGATCGCAGCGAGACATTCTTGCTCTGGTACGGTATAATTTCGTTGCGCCTTATTTAATTTCTTCGAAATAAAGGCAATAGGACGCTCATCTCCTTCTTCCGAAACTTGAACTAACACAGCTCCAACTCCGGTCTTACTCGCGTCGCAATGTATTGCGAACGGTTTCGAAAAATCAGGGCTGCATAATACCGGAGCCTCGCTAAGACATTGCTTTAGCTTCTCGAAAGATTCTACTGCTGCCTCAGTCAAACTGAATCTTCTTTTTGTGGTCATCAGATCTGTTAAAGGAGCAGCAAGAGACGCAAAATTAGGGACGAACTTGCGATACCATCCGCAAAGACCCATAAAACTACGCAAATTACGCAAAGTTTTTGGTAAAGGAAAATCCCTAATTGCGGCAACCTTTTCGGGATCAGTTCGAATTCCTCCATCGCCGATTATATGGCCCAAGTATCGCACCCTCAGCATGCAGAAATGACTTTTGCCAATATTGATCGTCAAGCCTGCACGCCTTATGTGTAAAGCAACCTCCCTTAGCACTTCTAAATGCCTCTCAAAACTTGCAGACACTATCAGCAGATCGTCTAAGTAAATGAAAACTTCGTTCCTCAGATGAGCTGGCACCACTTTGTCCATCAATCGAGACATAGTGCTTGTGGCATTGCAAAGCCCGAACGGCATAACTTTGAACTGATAGAGGGGTCTACCAGGGACAGTAAACGCCGTCTTGTCGCGAGAAGAAATTTCTAAAGGCACTTGCCAATACGCGTCTTTTAGGTCAAGGCTTGTTATATACTCAGCCTTCGGCAAGCGGCTCAATATACCACTAATTTGTGGAAGAGGATATGCATCCTTTTCGGTGAAACTGTTCACCTTGCGACAGTCCAAACAAATTCTAACCTTTCCAGGTTTCGTAACCATCACGATTGGAGATGACCAAGAACTGTCGGACTCTTCGATTACTCCTAATTGTATCATCCTGTCGATTTCAGCATACATTGCCTTCTCTACAGCAGGTGAGACAGGATAATGCCGTTGTTTTATTGGTTTAGCTGTACCTACATCAATGGAATGTGATATTAGGTTAGTTTTACCGAGACCTTCTTGGCTAAACGATGGGAAACAATTAACGACATTCGTTAGTTTAGCTTTATCTATATCGGACAATTTGTGCTGATCTATTTTGACTTTGCAGTCCGTCTCCGTTGAGTCTAACTCAGATATGTTTAAATTTCTGGGGAGAAGATCGTAAAGCCTCCAGAAGTCTATCCCTAGATATAGATCCTGTTTCAGTGAGGGCACTATGTAAATTTTTAACCGGTTCTTTACTTCGGCGTATTCCACCTCAGCTTGGAAAAACCCTGTTATCTGCTGCGATCGACCATCGGCTGTTGTAGCATTACTCTTGATTACTTTGAAATCCCCTTTGGTCATTACCTCACGAGCTAAGTTACCTCCCACACAACTAATCGATGCTCCGGAGTCTAAAAGGCCGTAAATTACTCGATCTAGCACACGAATTGGCAAAAAGGGTCGAGGATCTTTAGGTCCTGACGGTAGTGAATTTATGTACTCGATGCCAATTCTACATTGCTTGACATTTCGCCAGAATGCTTTTATTCGAGTAGAATTTCGAGACTTATGTTTCTGTAAATCATGTAAATAGTTATCTTCTGGTATAGTTATCCCCTTTAACATTGGGATTTTGCTATGTAGCAAGGGACTAGCAGGTATTTGTTGTTCGTCAGGGAATGGAATTTGAGTAATATTTGCTGTATCTACTACTCTTCGGTCATCGTGGCTTGGCTTCTGACGGCACTCGAAGGCTTCTGTCTGTATTGCGACTTCGACATGCCGGCCTTGGAGTTTTTTGCACACTTACTACAGCTTGGTTTGTAAGTATTTGCAGCTCCACAAGCTCCTGATATCTATGCCCTTCCTTGCGACAATTCCAACATAATAAGGAAAACGCTTCGACATCAGCCTCGTTTTCAGACTCAGATTCTACCTGAGTTTCACATCCCTGATTAAGTTCAGATACTTCCCGTCTAAACGGAGTGCTCCGCGCGTAGCCACTGCACCGCTTAACGTCGGCTAAGAAAGCTTCACGCCTGCGGCAAATCTGTCTTAGATCTGAGACAGTATTAATATCAATGTTCAATATCTCATGTCTTATTTCTGGACGCAAATTGTTTCTAATAACTCGAATTAATTTACTTGACGTCCATGGATGTTCAAGCTGATCGGCTAAGCAAGATATTGTATCATAAAACGAATCAAAAGATTCATTTGGCTTTTGTTTTGTGTTTCTAATTAGCTCTTCGATATCGCCATCGTCTCTGCTCTGGCGAAACTGGAGACGCAAAGCTGAACAGAAAGTGTCCCAATGAATCTCGCCGTGCGCTTTATGATAACGCCAATAAAATTCATTGGCTTTCCCTTCAAAAAGGACGCTTGCGTGTCTACAGAGTAGATCGAAATTGCTACCTAACGTCTCTCGGGTTAGAGTATCTACTCTATAAATAAAATTATCTACAGATACTCCTATTCCTGTAAATTTTATTTTCCAGCCATTGAGGATATGCACGACCTTATCCGGTCGGTTCACCAAATCGGATGTAGTGCTTCTCTGGGAAGCGGGAGAGTTCGGTGCCAAGAGGACTTGTCTTGGACTGCTTCGAGTTTCATTCCTAGTTTCGACCCTTTCATCATCGTTTCCTAGCGATCGACTTGAAGAACGTTCACTCTGAGAATTGTCACTCCCACGACTGTTGCTTGCTACCACCCTGGTTATGCTGTCAGCTACTGCATTTTGAATTAAATCGGTCATCCTTTCCGAAAGCGTAGCGAGTAATCTTCGCTCCATGGCCAATAATGTTATAGCATTTGCTGTTATAACGCTTGAATTGCTACCCCCACTGTTATTAGCTTGTGCACTTTGTCCTGAGGTCGAAGCTGTATTATCTAATGCTTGCTGAGCGACTGTATCTAAAGGCTGTCGCTTCTTCGACCCACTGTTATTAGCTTGTGCACTTTGTCCTGAGGTCGAAGCTGTATTATCTAATGCTTGCTGAGCGACTGTATCTAAAGGCTGTCGTTTCTTAGACCCACTTCGAGTTTGTCTCTCAGATACTTCACTAGGCTTTGAAATCGCTGGTCTACTAGATACTTTACACACCGGACATAGTGCGCTATCCTTCCAATGAGCTTCTATGCATCGCTTGTGAAACTCGTGTCGGCAACTGGTAAAAAAAACCTCAGCAGGATCTATGTCTGCTGTACATAACGGACAAACTGCCTTTGGGCTTGACTCAGCTCCTTTTTCAGGAGTTCGATTTACCAACATCATTCCCACGAGATACCAAAATTTTGTTTAAATGCGAAAAAAGTATAAATGTAACCAACTGCAATTATTATTTTTTTTGAAATATTTCTTTGTTTTGCTTCTTTGCGATAAGTAAAGCCAAAAATATAGAGAAATAAAGATATAATATTTATATACGTAATAAATGTGTTTACCGAACTCTTGATTAACTGTCACACGTCTCGAAGGATCATAATAAAAAAAATCAATTTTCTCAGAAATGTTAAGATTGAAAAGTGAAAACTTTTGATTAGTTTTAACCCTATTCAAAAGAGGGAAGCTGTATTTCTTTATTCCAAATTCGGACAGCGATTAGTTCAGAAACAGATGTGCATGTATTCCGGAATATGATCAAAAGAAACTAAGACTTCAAAAGAAATAAAAGAATAAAAGATGTTTTATATACTCTTTCTGGATATAGCACGACTCGGAAGAAATGTCTATATTTTCCGTGTAGTGTTATAAACTGGGGCAGAAGATGAGCTCTCTGTATCGCTTCCTCTGTTTTCCTCATCTTTACTAGCCACCTTGTCATCTCTTTAAGTTTAGAAAATTAATCTTTTGCTTCCTTGTGAATCTGGCCAATTGAGAACACAGATATTTATCTCAGCTGTTTTCCAAGACTTTCAAGAAAAACAAAAAAAATGTTTTGATATAGGCTTGAAGG